ATATATATATATATATATATATATTAGTGATATTAATATTGAATTAGTGATATTAATAGTGGAATGTGGACTTGTGCACATCTAACAAAAATATAAGGGCTTATTTAACTAATAGCTATATGTAATAATTTAAGGGAATGCATGCGCACAAATAATATAGATACCTTACATTGATTACGAAATCACAATAATCACGAAAGTTTTGAAAAGCCATTAAGACTGCATTTCCCAGCGCCCTTATAATAAAACACCCCAGTTATGAAAAGACTCAGAAGAGGATGAAGGGAGGAATGCGTGGTCATGTCGTCAGTGATGCACCTGCGAGGCGCTCTGTCGCATCATCTCACTGGCGCCGCTTTAGAATGAACGAAAGCGCACGGAACCGCCGGATCGCAAAATCGTTAAACAGAATGAACGCTGAACTTACGAGGACCACGTCCGCTCTTCTCGCGGAGGATCTGTTGTCTTAAGTTTGCGAATGATTCGTTGAGCTCTGCACTCACATAAATGACCGTTCAACACGCGCGCCTCTCTCATTTTATTTACAGATGACCGTAGCGGCAGCAATGGCAGGGTCAAATATGGTCTTTTCCGATGTTGAAAGTTTTCTAGACGAGCACCCGGAATTATTAGAGGACTATCTGAACAGAAAAGGCAAGGCAAGTATGGTGGAAAAGTGGCTGAAGAACCGTCACGCGACTAAAACTCCGGCGAACTCCAGAACGGAAGCGGAGAAAGCGGCGAACGCGTGCAGCAAAGACAGCTGGGCGAGCAGAAGCGACGGGCTGCAGAGACGAGCGTCGCAGAAAGAGCTGCGGAAAACCTTCGCCAGGTCTAAAGCCATCAACGCCAACAGGACTTACGACGAACACGTTAACTCCAGAGCCCAGGAGCCGCTGACCAGCATGAGGAGACGCGCGCTGCTGCGTAAAGCCAGCTCTCTGCCGCCAACCACCGCGCACATCCTCTCCGCGCTGCTGGAGTCCCGGGTCAACATCCCTCAGTACCCCTCCACCGCCGTAGACTACAAATACTACCTGAAGGAGCACAACGAGAGGGAGTTCTTCCTGGAGCTCGTCAAAGACATCTCCAACGACCTGGATTTGACCAGTCTGAGCTACAAGATCCTGGTGTTTGTGTGCATCATGGTGGATGCTGACCGCTGCTCCCTGTTCCTGGTGGAGGGACCGGCCAGTAAAAAGACTCTGGTGTCCAAGTTCTTTGACGTTCACGCTGGAACCACAGTGTTGCCCTCTCTCAGTAACTCGGATGAGGTGCAGGTGCCCTGGGGAAAGGGCATCATTGGATATGTGGCTGAACATGGGGAAACTGTCAGCATTCCCGATGCATATCAGGTGAAAGCAGGAATAAAGTGATTGCTTCTTGTCCGAAAGAAAAAAAAACTTCAAGGATGTGTGTTTGGAGCCACAGTTGTAAAGGGATAAAAGTATCAGTCAAATAAGAACTTACTTAAAGTCAAATTCCTATGTATGATTTTTTTCTTTGGGATTTTGTTTTTTCTTATTTAATTCTTTTAGGATTCTTTTTAAGTCCTGCAGCCATTTAGAATGTTTTAGGATGGTTTCCATATAATGATAGAAATTCCTCTGGGATTAGGAATACGTTGTTACCATACAGTAGGATCCATGGTGAGGTCACTCACATTACATTTTCCCATATGGATAATTAATTATCATATAGACAGGACAACACATATTAAGTGAAACAGAAGATGATTGTTTCTAGTCCAAAAGTCTTAATGTGCACAGGATTGATCAATTTATCCTATTGAATAAAGTGAAAATCCTATTTTTCAGGTTATTTTATTATTAGTATTTTATTTATTTATTTTAACTAAAGGATCATTGGATAAATAATTATCAGTTAGGCAGGAAAGTATTTTACAGAGACAATTATTGATGGTGAAACTCCTGATGCATATCAGGTGAAGCAGAAATAAAATAATTGTTTAAAAAAAATCTAAAGAATGATTCTGATGGACGTTCTGCTATAATTATGATCAAATGTAAAGGTATTAAAGTCATGCAGAATAAAAAAAAAGATCCTATTTTAATTCAAAGTGTTAATGTTGAAGTAATGTTAAAGTCATTAAATGTTTGTAAAAGCATCTAAAACCTCCTAATGCCAGATGAATTTCTATGATACATCTGTTCCAAATGATCATGAACATGGAATTTATATTGTAATTTCTATATGAAAACAAAGGGACCAAAGTAATAGCCAAAGAACTCTTACTTTGATCTGTTACAATTTTCCAAATTATGAGATAGAAATTCAAGATGATGAAGCTTGGGGCATCTGTTGCGAGGCCAGTCATACTACATTTTCCCATATGAATAATTACTTGTCAGATAGAAAGGAACAAATTTGACTGATATCACTTTTGATGGAGAAAGAGCAATCTTTCCTGATGCATAACAGGTGAAGCAGGAATAAAATGACAGTTCGTAGTTTAAAAATACTGGAAGTTGAGAACAGATTTGCTAATGGAATGTCTATTTTAATTTGCAATCCATCCTAATGGGAGAAAAAAACGAATCCTTTAAGAATCCTTCCGAAACTTTCGGTAGTAAAACAATTTTGAATGTTGAGTGATCTAGGACCTTTATACAGTGCGTGTCATTGTACAAGTCTATCCCTCACAGCATAATTTGCATCTGTGTTAAATTCAGTATGGCGTCTAACCTGACTCAAGTCTATAATTAACATTATAATAAACAGAATAATCATTTTATCCCACTGGATTTAAAAAAAAAACGGCCAAAGGTGGTTTCTTCTGGATTTTGTTTCTGGATTTGATGGTTTTAGAGGAGTTTTGGGCACTGTCTTGGAGATCAGCTGACACCACACTAAAACCAACTGAACACCAGGACGGGAGACTGATCAAACCAGCTAACACCAGCACACCACCTTAAGCTGTTTTTTCTGTCCAGCAGCATTGTATTTGATTCTTAAACGATTCTCATTTGAGGCCCGTGGAAATTCAGTTAGGGTTAGGAAGCATTAGCATTTGTTGACTCTTGCATCAATGGCAAGGTCACTCACATGACATTATCCCATACGGATAGTGACTGTCACATAGACAGGAGAGTATTTTATTGTGACCCTGAGTGATGTTTTTGGTTTGATTATTCCCTGAGATCCATAAAGGGCCTCAGTGAAATAATGAGTTGTGTGAGAGTATCTGAGTATTGATTACTGAATCGATCAGCTCAGACAAACTTCATCCTCCCTGTTCTACAGTTATAGTCCTGGTGCTGTGATGATGATGATGATGATGCCAGCTCGCAGTTCTCTAATTAGTCTGTCAATCTGCGTTTGCCTTTTCATTTAGCAAGCGGAGCAGATCATTAAAACTGCATTATTTATAGCAGTAAACTCAGCATTTCAGAGACCATTCAAACAGGAGATGGAAACATGGGCATGAACATTATTAGTTAATATTAATTAAAAATATTAACACTTTGTAATAACTGTCATTGATAAGTCATTGCATTATATATAAGTTGTAGCTACTTAGATTATGTACTTAAATATGAATAAGACGTAATTAAAAGTTTCATGATATTTCTGTATATTTGAACATGAACTAATCTGTTAAGATGTATTTAATGTTAGTGTTTGTTAATGTTAAAATACTGTTAAGCTACAATGCCAATCAAAAGTTTGGAATAATTAATAATTAGGCTGCATTTATTTCATCAATAATAAACTGTAATATTGTGAAATAGAGTAATTTAAAATAACTGCATTTTAAACTGTAATTTATTCCTATGATCAAAGCTTAATTTTCAGCATCATTACTCCAGTCTTCAGAGTCACACAATCCTTCAGAAATCATTCTAATATGCTGATTTGCTGCTCAAAAAGCATTTCTTATTATTATCAATGTTGAAAACAGTTGTGCTGCTGAATATTTATGCGAAAATTGTGATGCGCTACCATTTAAAAGTCTGGGTAATTTAAAGAAAGAGAAAGAAAATACTTTTGTTCAGCAAGTATGCGTTAAATTGATGAAAAGTGATAAATACATTACATTTATAAAGATTTCTATTTCAAATAACAGCTGTTCTTTTAACTTTCTATTCATCAAATAATTCTGCAACAATGCATTATGGTTTTGCTACAAACACATTAAGCAGCAAGAACTGTTTTCAACAATGATTATATTAAAAATCATTATTAATAATTGAACGCCAATAATAATTGAAAATAGCTGAGCAGCAAATCAGCCTATTAGAATAATATATGATTTCAATATTATAACGGTTATTTTAAATTGTAATAATTTTTGATAATATTACTTTTACTGTATTTTTGATCAAATAAATGCAGCCTTGGTGAGAATAAGAGACTTCTTTTTTAAAAATCTTAATTATTCCAATCTTTCGGTAGTGTGTTATAAAGCAGTGGAGACCAGAAATATTCTACTCCAGGCAGGGTAAGAAGTGTTTCTCATGTTTCTGTCACTTTCTGTGTTTTTTGCAGTTCTATTTAGTGCCGCTAGCAGCACAGCAATGACACACTTCACCTCTAATTCGTTTGGCTTCTCCTAACAGTTATTATAAGTGTTCCCATTCAGCTGAGAGTGACTGTCTCTTGTCCTCTTTTGTAGGACCATCGTTTCAGTGATGAGATTGATAAACTCACCGGATATAAAACCAAGTCTCTGCTGTGCATGCCCATCCACAACAGTGATGGAGATGTCATCGGGGTCACACAGGCCATCAACAAGAGTCCCAATGGAGCACTCTTCACCGACGATGACGAAAAGGTACCACATGCACATGCTCTGTAACAGCGCTTTACTCGCTGAACCTTATTATACAAGTTAACTATGCTTGCCTTCTGCTCTTGTCTTCTATAAACATTTGACCTAGTGTGTTTCTTCCAATGTGTAAAATGCAACACAGAAAATTATTTTTTTTCTCCATCCTGAATGGTTTAATGTTAGAAATGGAAACGAATGCATCTTCTGGATTTTCAGAGTGATACAGGAGGTCAGGGGTCGTCTCTCAGCTTTCAGGGTGGAGTTTTTCATATCATTAGCAAAGCATTTCTACCTAAGGATGTGGATTTTTAGATGATAGCTGTCTGAGATGGTGAATGGGAATGTGATTTGTGTAACATTAGCAACACATTATTAGCTGTTTAATAACATAGTCAATCCAAAGGCTAATGATATCAATTACTGTTACGTGTCCGACGTTGCTGAGAGTAATGCATAAAATGCATTCCCATTCTGATACATCGACTTGTACACAACCCTATAATTAATTCTTCCTCTTCTTTTTTGGAATCAGTTTCTGGTCCAAACTAGGGATGTCACGATACCAAAAATCTAGTAGTCGGTACCGATACCACTAAAAGTACACGATACTCGATACCGAGTCGATACCACTGGAAAAAATAACTCCATTAACTCCTTTAACATTACAAAAACGCAACATTAGTGGCACTTGTACTTGAAATAATACACACACACGCGCACAAGCACACACACACACACACACACACCTATATTCTGAATGCAAGCAGTAGTTTAAATTCACTGACATACTGGCAGGCCGAAAATACTTTTTAAAACCATTCATAAGCAACAATTATTTAAAACAATAATATTAGCCAATAATGTTGATAAGGATAATCCAAGGACGGATACACAATGAATGAACAAGCTGTAAGCTGTCAGACAGTTATGTGTGTGCGTAATCATGCGCTGCGCTCGTGCTTTCAGAGCTGCGCGCTCTCATTTAAATCTCTCACAATCATATTCATATATCGTCGCCGTCTTCCACGTTAAGTTCTTCTGTGTGCTTTTAGGCGTTTTTTTTTCTTATTTTTTACCCTTTGAGGACCGGCTGAAACACTTTTAGGCGTATGCTCTTGCCTGCCCCCGTCAGTTCCGGAAGAATTGCAGCCTCGCTAATCGATACCTTCGGTACTTACGCTACTGAAGAAAAACAAGTACTGGCAGGATTTTAAAATGTAAATACTGACTTGGTACCGTAGTATCGGTTCTCGTGACATCCCTAGTTCAAACATATATAGCTGAATTAATCCAATAGTGCCACTTGCCATTGTGTAGCATTTACTACTTCAGTTAATTTGAGTGAAAGAGGAGCAGGTCCGAGCTGGTGTGATTGAGTGGAGGCGGGGACTAATTTGCATATATATCCACATATACTAAATGATTTTGTGAGTCAGAGTCCACTTGACTTTAAAGAGCCCGAACATTTAAAGTGGCAGAAGAAATGCACTATTTGGACAAAGGTATTTGGACGCACCTCTTAATTACTGAATTCAGGTGTTTCAATCAAACCCATTGCCACAGGTGCATAAAATCAAGCATCTAGCCATGCAGTCTGTGGCTACGTCTACATTAATCCGGATACATTTGAAAATGGTGTTTTCATTTCAAAATGCTCTCTGTCCACACTAGCGTATTCAAGCATTTTCCAAAAGTTTCTCATCCACATTGAAACATCGGAAAACATTCAATTCTCTTTCCTGCGCATGCGAAAAGCCTCATAAAAGCTCTCTGAGATGATACAGACGGAACGGACATAATAAGTTTACATGCAATTCTTCTGCCCTGCTGAAAAAACCAGCATACTGTATGCTGCATATACACCATTATATGTCTGATCTAAAACGCAACTGCCCTCATGTTTTGCCGCAAAACAGCAATCGCGAATACATTTTCTGTCACCTTTGCAGGACTGTGATATGAAGAGTGTACGAAGTAACATATCTTTAGCAACAGTGTGAAAGTAGCACATAACAGGCACAATACCGGTATAAACCTAGATATCTATTAGTGCAGTATGTGTCACATGACTAAACATGTGTCATCGTTTTCAAATACCTTCGTTTTCACAGTCCACTCTACAACACGAAAACGGCGTTTTCAAATTTATCCACTTTGGAGACCGTTTTCAAAAAGCTCAGTTTTCCATGACAAAAACGCTGTCTCAGTGTGGACGGAAGGCCAAAACGGAGAGAAAAAGATGCGTTTTCAAACTAAAAATATTAGTGTGGACAAGGCCTGCATTTACAAACATTTGTGAAAAAATGGGTCGTTCTGAAGAACTTAAGTGTGGTACTGTGATAGGATGCCACAATAAGTCAGTTTGTGGAATTTCATCAATGCTAGATTTTCCACGGTCAACTGTAAGTGGAGGAGGTCTAATTGTATGGGGCTGTTTTTCAGGGCCTGGGCTCGACCCGTCACTTCCAGTAAAGGAAGTTCTTAAGCATACCAAGACATTTGGGAAAATGCTATGCTTCCAACTTTGTGCTGAACTTGACTGCCCCACACAGAGCCCTGACTTCAACCCCATCAAACACCTTTGAGATAAACTGGCATGGAGATTGTGAGCCAGGTCTTCTGATCCAACATCAGTGCCTGTCCTCACAAATCCACTACTGGATGAATGGGCAAAAATTCCCACAGAATCACTTCAAAACCTAGTGGAAAGCCTTCACAGAAGAGTGGAAGCTGTTGCTGCAAAAGGAGACCAGTTCCACATTAATGTGTATAAAATGCGATTTCATTAAATTCGCTGTTGGTGTAATGGTCAGGTATCGTAATACTTTTGTCCATACATATAGTGAAATTGTAGCGTGCGCTTATAATAAACAGAACAATATCGTTCATAGATGCGGATGCTAATATAGATACCTTTATAGTAATCATTCTTGGTGTGAATGGGCCTTAACATTGTGCAACCCCCTGCACGCACAGAAGTTTTCTTTTACTTATAAATATATCATATCAGAATTTTTTGGGGACATAAAGTCAGAAATGTGAGGATGGTACAACTGTATGATATCTCAATAAACAAAAATGCTTATTTAAAAGCAAACCATTATTGAAAAGATCACCTTATTAGGTAGTTTTACACGTTTTTATTATTTATTTGAAAATCACTACTTTGCTACTTACTAAAATGTGAAAAAAAACTTTTGTCCTCCAACACAAAGTCATGTTATGCAACCAACATGGAGAAAAATATAAAACTGGAAATTATATCATAGAGAGGACCCCTGCAGACACTCATGACTGTGTGTCAAGGTCAATAAGTCTCTTAAAATACCAGATAATTTCATCTTTTTATGACAATACAAAGCCAGTATAACTCCTTATACTTATATTTAATTATAAACTTATATCAAAATATATATTTGACAAGATTTTGACTTTATCTTGGGCACTCTTATTTGTTATTGCTCCATTAACAGATAATTCTACCTCTGAGCAGAGAAATTTAATAAGGTGTAGAGAGTGAAATTCAGTTTAGTGCATTCAGTTGAGGAGACTGCAGTGATGTCTCATAGCTTTGCACTGACGTCACAAACTGTGTGCTTATGTAATGGTCCTGTCATTGGATCACTGTGAGTGGGCAGAGTGTTCATGACTGTCTGTGTAAAGCTGAACAGTTAGCGTTAGTTGTCCTTGTCATCGTTTGTTCTGGGTTAAGGTAGCGTGGTCAACCACGCCACGCTATCATGAAAAAGAAATAAAGTGTCTCATTAATGTTGACCTTCAGTAACAATGAAGTCTTTATAAACACAGAAGCAGTTCTCATATGGCAGAGTCATTAATCAGCGGCCGCTGCTGAAGTCCCTGAGCCGCGCTGCTCTGTTTACAGGAGCTCAAGTGACGGGTAATACGCCTTATTTCACAGGGATGCGCGGCATGTGTGAAACGTGTGAATGTATGGGACATATTCATTTGAACTTTTTTACTTTTCTCTGTCTTTACAAAAAGTTTTTTTGGAGTTACGGTAGTACCATTTGAAATACTTTTGGATTTCCATGTACAATATCATAACACATGAATATCATATCAACATGGAACCACCACAGTACCTGTGTAAGCATTATTAGTGGTGCTTGCTAATGCATTCATTACTATTTAGCCCCGTTCACACTGACAGTCTCTGTGTGTTTTTAGCAACCATTCCCACTCTTTATCATTTGGCGCGTCACTGCCTGTAATATCGTTTGTAATTCTTTGACCGTTTTTGATTCAGTTCACAAAACTGGTCTGAATGATTCATTCACACACTGAACTGAATTGGCTCTTGATTTCAACAACCTTAATGATCAAGTTGCAGTAGTTAATAGCTCAGTGGACCCATGTAAAAACGAAGTGCACTTAACAGTTAGTTAATGTCATGTAATCAAACAGACAGTGAACACTATTAACAGCAATGATTATATGTTGCGATCAAACTTATAGCAAAATTTGGTCGTTTTGTATGTTGTTTGAGGGTTGGCATCATCTGAGGTCCTCTGAGGGGTTGGCATCATCTCTTCTCAGGTGTTCGGTCATCTCTGGTCTGTAATCTAGATTTAAACAGAGAGAGTGTGTCTGAACCCTGAACGTTATCAGGAAGGCTATTCCAGAGTTTGGGAGCCAAATGTGAAAAAGCTCTACCTCCTTTAGTGGACTTTGCTATCCTAGGAACTACCAAGAGTCCAGAGTTTTGCGACCTTAGAGAGCGTGATGGATTGTAGCGTGGTAGAAGACTAGTTAGGTACGCAGGAGCTAACCCATTAAGGGCCTTATAGGCAAGTAATAATATTTTGTAAATGATACGGAACTTAATAGGTAGCCAGTGCAGAGACTGTAAAATTATAATCCTACTGCTCAAAATACCTGGGTTTTTCTCAAAATAACCACTATATGGAGTCAAGATATATTTTTGTTGTTGCTATGGACTACGTTGACAAGAGTGATGTAGAAGTATTCACCGTGAAGCTTAC